TAATTTCAGCTGATATCCCAATAAGAAGAAAGAGAGAGGGCAAGATGAAAAACTTGTAATGCTTTTATTTACTTTCCAAAATGTAGGTGAAAGCTCATTTGCTGCTCTTTCCCTTCCCTCTGACTGATGTGGATATTTGGCCTCTTATTGCGTCATAGGCAGTTACCTTTATTAAAATGTGTTGGGAGAGATTTAGGGGTGAGAAGGAGTCACCATCAACATTCCTTATCTAACAAAGATGTGGTTCAGGAAAGGCAGGCATTAACGAGGGAGAATTACAAGGTCTAGAGCAACAGTAGAATGCATTCAGCTGACAGAAACAGGAGAAATAATTATATACCTGTCAAATACTGAACTAGAGTGTCTGTCAGTTAGTAAGAGAAATTCTGCTACAAAAAATGGATGAGCCATTAATAGAAGATCAAAGTAGAAAGACTGTGATTTAGTTCAGTTTAAGAAGAGATAGTCCTGTGTATGGAAAGAAAAACAAGTCAGGAACTGCTAGAGGCAGAACTGACCATCTTGAGCTCTATTCAGTGACCTAGGCTAGACCTATGGAATCACCAGGGAGCCTGAAGCCTGTTTCCCATAACATTATCAGGCACAAGGCTGGATTTGGTGCTTTATTAGTTTCCAAGTTTGGTCAATGATAAAGGAGCTGTTAAAGGGCACGTCTGAAAGAGAACATAACCACTTGAAAGCAAAGCCAAGTTTCAAATTAGCTGTGCTATGACCTATCCTTGGGAGAGCTCTACTTGAATTGACATAACCAGAGAGAACACAGTAAGAGAAACACGGGCCTGTGCACTGCCTGTCAGTATAGCTCTGCAGCAGCTATATGCTGCTGTATCTGACTCTTCACAGGACAGCAGTGCAGGATAGGGGCTTTCCTTACATTATTTCAAGCATATCTCTTGATAATTGTACTCTGCAGTAAAAATAAGCCTTAAGTCACTTAAGGAAAAATTAATGAAAAAAAAATCACACCACCAATTAGAGAGAACCTAAGGACTTATATATGCCAGCTCATCCACTAAGAGCACTGCCTGCAGCTAATAAAGTCAGGCAAAGTGTTCTTGAGATTTAGAATGAAAACAAAACAGTAAAAGTTATTTGTTAGAAGGAAATGCACAGCAATCCCTGTGACATCTCAGCCATAGAGTAACTACAAATATGTAAACATATTTTTGTTTACATATTTTTGTGGCTAGTTCTACACTAAGTACTTTGGGAATGCTCTGGGGAGAAGAGTCACAGAAGAGGCCACAGAAGCCCTAAGATGTGACAATTTCCTTCCAGGACTATGCCAGTCAACTTGGATTTTTATGTTTAACCTGGAAACAAAGCTTCTGAATACTGGCATAGTACCTTCTACTGCTATAAATCAGTAAAGCTATTTTCTCAGCCACACAACTTTCTGAGGTTTTGAATGGGGAAAGGGACAGGCAGAGCCTGCATTTCTCCCCAGGATATTAGATAATATCGCACCAGGTACTGATGCAATATACAGGATAGCGTAATAATTAGGTGATTTTTAATTACCCGCTTCCACTACACATATCTTGTCTGATAAGGAAACTTCTCTGTGCAACCATCCAGGAGCCATAATGGCAGTCACACTCACACCACCTGGGACCGAGGCCCCTTCACAGCTACATCCCCACACTCACAGTCAGGCCAGGTTTCCTTACCAGCTCAGCTCCAGGTTTCCCATAGCTCAGACTTCGAGATCATTAAAATAATTTAATCTTGGTGCAGTAATTATCAACATAACAGTTCGACTTGGGTACCTCTGAGGAGGTGCCCCAAAGAAAGGAATCCCCGGGCTTTTATACCCTCAGAGTCTGAGAGCAAGCAAGTCTGGGGGTGATGGGCTCCTGCCGTCTCTGAGTGCCCGGTCCCCAGGCCGGGACACAGGTCCCGTGCCCCGTGCTCTTCGCTGTGCAAAGGATTTCGCAGGTCCCGGCCTTTCGCCCCCAGAGCTCAGGCTGCAGCTGCACACCGAGCTGCCGGCACTCAACATACTCCTCAACGCGACCTTTCGGGCAGCCTGGCCGAACACCTGTAACTGGGCTTGACCGCGCGCCGCCGCCGTGCCCGCCGCTCGGCCGCCCCTCGCCCGCCCGGCCCCGCTCACCTGCACGACCCAGAGCAGGCTGGCGGCGGCCGCCCCGGGCGCGGGCTGCGGGGCCCAGCGGCGGCGCGGCCCCGGGGCCGGCGGCGCCGCCGGCGGCCCGTACCAGTCCAGCAGCAGCGCCACGGCGGCCGCCGCCAGCAGCCCCGCCGCCAGCCCCAGCATCCTGCGCCGCGCCGCCACCGCGCCCGCCCCGGGCGAGCCCTGCGCCGCCAGCCCCGGGCGAGCCCTGCGCCGCCCGCCCCGGCACTTCCGCGTCCACCTCCTCCGCTGCCGCGCCGCCCCGCGCCCGGCCGCGCTTGGCTCGGGGGAGCGATGCCGCCGCTCCCCTTGTGCTGGAGCTTCTATCCGGCGAGGCTGGGGGATCCCGGCTCTGCCCCCGCTCCCTGTGCCCTGAGCGTTCCTGCTTTCCCCTCCAGCCGCAGGGCTGCCTGGAAATGCCTGGGTTAAAGCAGAAGGAAACCCAGGCGTACGAAGAGATCCGTATCTCAGCCTGCTTCCCTACAAATACAGCATGTGAACTTTGGCTTTTTCTCGTTACGGTATTATAATTCTACCTGCTCGGAAATCTAGGCAGTTGACCTATTTTGATCCTGACAGAAGTATTTTTATGGTATTTTGAACATTTTAATATATATATATGTACACACACCATTTAAAACCTTGATATAGTAACCGAACAGTTTCATAATTGCTAAGTTATTCTTTGCTATCAACTCAGTTTACTAACTGCTGCCCATTTACTGTTGAGATTTTTTTCTTCCCATCTTAAGTATGAGTTCAGGTGAAAAAGCTCCTGTCACTTCACATCACTCTTTGTTATTTATCATAATATTCTCAAACAACTTCAGGTATTAGAAGTTTCTAATTCAGTATTATTTAATTGTAATTATATTTTCTCATGTAATTTCTCATAGGACAAAGATTTAAATTTTAGCATTGATAATAAATAGCATTGATTGATCGGGAAAAAAACATTTTTCAGCTCAGTTAGACTGCATTAATATGACACGTCTTTTTAGATGTTCTTCATAATTTAGTTACTCTTTTGCAGGACTTCATGTATGTTTGCTTTGTTTTTTTTTCAGCTGCCTTTCATCTTGTTTGTCTACTCTTTCCCCCCAACAAAACACCCTGAAGAAATGTTTCTAAATAAACATCAATCAGCAATCCTGTCAATCTTCAGAAGTAATCTGGAGAACTAGGGCTTTCTCACTTTCTTCCTGAAGCTCTACCATTTTATTTTAGCTCTAGCAAGGCTGTCAATTATTTTGTCTGTATTAAAATTGATCTGAATTCCTGTTTTGTTCTTCTTCTTTCCTCTATTACTGTAGTATCCATGGAGATCTTGTTTGGTGCCATTTCTGCCTGGGCAATGGTGCCAACTTGTTTTTTTAAGAGGTTTACTGACACTTTATTTGCTGTCTTTTAGTGCATGTGGGTTCCATTTTTTTAATAATAATTTTTTAAAGTAAGTCTAACAGTAAATCCTGTTCAATTAAAACAGTGATTTACATTAGCATACCTTTTGAAGTCACACAGGAAAGCAAACCCCCACTGACAGCTAAAAGAGATAGCCAGGCAAACTGCTTGCCTTGCAGCACAGGGGGCTGCAGGCAGCCCTCCTGCTGCTTGACTGGGTTTGTTGCTGGAATTCTGCCTTGCTTCTCTTGCTCGACTACATTGGAAGCTGGATTATATAATTGCTAGTGTTGATGCCAAAACAGGTGAAGGACTCCAGTAATCACAGTCCAAACTTAGTTGTTGTGCAAACAACACTTCTGGTTAGCGGGCAGCTGTGCTATTGGAAAGGATTGGGCACCAATTAGCAATATGGACAGACAGAACGAGATGAGATTGTTGTCTCATGGCAAAATTCAATTTTTATTTTTTACACCTCATACCTAAACCTGTCTCAGTGATGGTGATTTTAACTGACAGATTTCAGTAATTAAAGAAGTCTGCAGGACTTCTTAATATGAAGATGACTGGTAGCTGTGGCAGAGGAACTACATTCAGATTTCTGAAGATATAAGAGAAGAACTTTGAGAGTACTTGTGGCTGGGTACAGCACAAAAAAATCATTGGATATACCTGAAAAGATCACCTGTAAGCTTTATCCCATCCATACTTGTCACTGTCGAGGCAGGATGGGAATGAATAGACTTGACTCAGAAGGCTGTGAAAGTAAGACTCCCCTTTATTCAAAATACACTGCTCTTTTATACAAAGCTTCATGAGGACCAAATCCATTGGTTCTGAAATGAAAACAACCCACCACCATTGGTGCAAAGTGCTTGACGCACAGTGATAGAACTTAACTATAAACAATGTGAAAAACAAGAGAGATAAATAATTATTTACATTCTTTTCCAGCTCTTTCCCAGGCTTTTTGCCTGGCTAGAAACTCTCAGTTTCTTTCTTTAACTGAATCTGAGACCCACACATACTGATAACTGAAGAAAGTGAAAAAGCTGTTTGGAGGCTTGAAACAGGAAGACTACAGTGGAAGAAGGCAGTCTTCCCAATATCCAAGATATCAGGCATTCAAAATGGACCCCAAGATCCAATGCTATGGCTATTTGCCTATTTCCTCAGCCTTACGAAGGTGGAAACACACGGAATTGTACAACTGGACTGCAACAATCTGGAAAACTTCCAGCAATGCATAGGCCATGTTTGTCACACTTCAATCAAGATCCTAAATGCCGTAATCTGCCAAATCTGCTAAGCACCCAGAACAGTTTTGATACGCTGTTGGAAGGAGGTGTGGAGGAAAAATTTTGATCTTGGAGATCCTTTGGTCTTTAGGCATTTGCCTAAAGCTACTGTTGCTTCCTACACCAAGTTAATAAAATTTTCCCTTTGCTTAGCCCATGTGGGAACCACATGGAAGTGACTTTGCACCGTGTAGATGAAATTACTTGCGCTATTATCTTGCTAGCAATGAGGGGACATAGTCCCCTGCACCACTGGAGGTTTAGGTTAGATATTAGGAGGAATTTCTTCACCGAAAGGGTGATTAAACATTGGAATGGGCTGCCGAAGGAGGTGGAGGCAGCGACCCTGGAGATGGTATAAGGAAAGACAGGACATGACACCCAGTGCCACGGGCTGGATGATAAGGTGGTGTTCCGTGGTAGCTTGGAGTCGATGATTTCAGGTCTTTTCCAGCCTAATGGATTCCGTGGCTCGGCGATGCAGGGCGCGAAGCGGGCACGGTTTAAGTGCCTGCGGGGACCCGGCCAGCAGGAGCTCCGCGCGCCGGCCCGGCCCGCGCCGGCCGGGCTTCGCGCGGCCTCCCGCAGGGGGCGCTGCCGGGGCCCCGCGCGGGGCGGCTGCGCGCGGGGCGGGCCCTGGGCCGCGGGCGCGGCGCCCGGTGACGGCGGCGGCCCCTTCCGGCCGTCACGGCGCCGCCGGCCGCGTCCCTCGCTCTCAAAATGGCGGACGGAGCCGACAGAGGTCCCGCGGCGGGCGGCCGGGCCCCCGCGCAGGCCCCGGAGCGAGCTATGGTGAGGCTGCGGACCGGCGCCGCGCCGCGCTTCCCTCTGCCCGCCCTCGGGGGCAGCCCGTGCCCTGCCCGCGCTGCCGCTCGGCCGAGCAGGGCAGGCTCTCCGCGGCTGCCGAGCGGCGCCGTGGAGGGCCGGGACGCGCCGCTCTGCACCTGCCGTAGCCGGCGGGAGGCTGCGGCACCACCCGGGGCGCGGCCTGGGCGCCGGGGCCGGAGCGGGCGGCCCGGTGCCCC